TGAATTAGGCTCTTGAGTTTTGTAATTTTAGGTAAGCTAGGACCGTAATGTAATGAATAGGTAGGTTAAGGCTACGTTGTAACACATACTTATTAATAGATTTAGGGTTTAAGTTTTATATTATTATTACTAAGTTGGAGCCCAAGGCATTACGTAGGTGGTGGGGTGGGTGCCGAAAGGCCAATGAATTGGGCTCTTGAGTTTTGTAATTTTAGGTAAGCTAGGGCTTAATTGTAATGAATAGGTAAGTTGAGGGTACGATAGCCGATAGACTCTGAATTTCGAAGTCTCTTGTCAGAGGTAAGCCTTGGCGGCCAGTGGTGAACCGGCAATGGTTTACTATCCGGACGGCAATGGTTTACTATCTGCACGGTAATGATTTACTATGCGGCATGGCCATAGTCTACTACCCGCACGGCTTCCGGACGGCAAATGGTTTACTATCCGCAAGGCAGTAGTCTACTATCCGCACGGCAATGGTTTACTATCCGGTGCCCTGGCTGTCGGTGAACCTCTGTGCAAGGAGGGAGAATGAAGGGGAACTTTCGACTGTCGTACCATTAACAATTTATTATAGATTAGTTAAGGTAATTGAATAGGTAGATAGGATTATTTTTATTAAGCAATTTAAGATGCAGGCACCGCTAAGCTTTCTAATGAGAATTTTCTCTTCCTCCATTCCACGGGCTGTGTTTCAACAACAATCTCGAGAAGGACTGGCACCAGTTTTGGAGGACAACGCAGGAAACGGAAGGCACTCATCATTTTGCCTTTGTCGAATGGACGACGGTAGGTTTTTTTTACATTTTACTCTCTTTATTATTTTCAAATATTATTTATTTGCCATTATTTCCATTTTATAATTTTTTGCTTCTAAGATTCTAACATTCATTTACTACTAAGCTAATAAAAATAACTTGTCTACAGACTGATGAGAGGTGGGCAGTGGTGGGCGTCAGCACGTTTCAGATAGTGGTCTCCTGATGATCGTTCCGATAACAACTCGAAGAAAACAACAACGACGATTTTTGAAGTATGGTTTAGTTTCGTTGTTTTTATTTTTTTCATTCATTCATTTTGTCACACAATCTTTCATTCATCCATTAATTGACTCATTCTATTCATTCATTGAATCATAGATTGGTTAATTAATTCATTCAATCACTCAATCATTCGCTCAATCATTTATTCGGTTGTTCTTTCGTTTTAACATTCATTTACTACTAAGCCAATAAAAAAAATTTGTCTACAGAATGATCAGAGGTGGGTTGTGGTGGGAGTCAGCACGTTTCATGATGGTAATCTCATGGTAAGATAAGTTGCTTCTTACTTTTTTTCAATGGCTTGTTTTTTATTTTAAAAAATTAACTTTTTCTTTCAATTTTGTTTTTCAGTATCCGGTAAAATTCATTTCCTCGGTTCGTGTCAGATGATGGTCGGTGCAATGGAGGTTCGTCCGTAGTGGGTGAAGAAGTTTCTGGAGGGTACGCGCGCGCACATTTACATACACGCACACACATAAATACAACACACACATACACAACATCCATTCATTCGGTGTCGTTGTTGTTATGTTTCTCTTCAACTTTCTATTTTCTTTACCGGACTTAATTTAATTCATAGGTAAGTTAGGGATTGAGATGAGTTGAACAACTGTGGGTAGGCTAGGGCTTAACATTAGTTAAAAAGTTTCAAGTAAAATATTAACATTAACATAAATTAAAAGCTTCAAGTAAAATTAAAACGTTAAAATATGTAAAATAAATGAGTTGAGTTATCATTACAGGTAAGCTAGGGCCCTGAGAGTAATTTAATTGTAGGTAGGTGACTGACTACTATTCTTGCGACTTTTTAATATTTTTTTTTGTGGTGTGTTTGTTTTCGCTTCTTAGCACCACACAACACCAACAAAACAAACTAAAATTTTTTTGTCGCCTTAAATTTTACCATTTTTGAACAATCTTTTTAATAATGTCTATTTATTTATTTGTAAAATGTTGACTGGTTTCTAGTTTCTTATTTTGGTTATATAATTTTTGGATATTTCCTGATTTACTTTGTATATATGCATGCATGAATAATTTCTGTTTGGTATGTTGATTTAGTCATTATGATATGCTGTGAACTGTCCTTACTAAATATTCATGTTTCGTGATAATTATTTTTTATCAATCGATATTTTGTTATATTTGTTTGTTTAAAATCTGAACTTTTTAAAAAATTGTCATTTAACAAATTTTAATTTCGTCACTTTTCATCTTTTGATGATGTCAAATAAAAGCAACTGTTGTGTTTTTCTTTTCTTACTAAAATCTCGAATACAAACATGTACAAAGAGACACAGACACACATACATACAAACATACATACATACATACATACATACACGCATACATACATACTGCCATCATATATAGGCAGTACAATAAACATTCATGTCATTTCTGTCAATGTATTTTAAGTATGTTATACTGTTAATCTTGTTAACTATGATGACGATCATCATCATCACAACCATCATCAACGAACAACAATATAATAATAATTACAACAACAACAACGAAATAAAAATAGTTGTTCTCATTATGCATTTCAAAAGCTTGCATTCTTCTTTTAATACAAGCGATATATATATATATATATATATATATATATATATATATATATATATATGTGTGTGTGTGTGTGTGTGTGTGTATGTGTGTGTGAGTTTGCTTGTGTGTGTGCGTGCGTATATGTATATTTTTATCTGTTTATTGAAACGTTATTTTTTACGCATACCCCTTGTCTCATTCTCTCTCTCTCTCTCTCTTTCTTACTTTATATATATATATATATATACATATATGACTGACTGGCTGGCTGGCTGACCGACCGACCGACCAACTGACTGATTGTTTGATTGATTGATTGATTTATCTCATAGAAAAAATGAGAAAAAATCCGATTAAGCCAACCTATGGCTTCAGTAAGCCACTGTTTTTCACCTGACAAAAGCAATTTCTATATTTATATTGACAAAAATAATTGTGATATGAATATATTGATTTATTTAAAGCATTATATGTACAAAAAAGTGCTATCGTAAGAGTTCTATGAAACCCTGTAAGCCACTGCTGTAAGTCAACGTATGATTTCAGCAGCCAGTTTCTTATGAGCACCAGCAGAATGTAAAATATTCATTGAATATAATGAAGATAGTTGTTCAAATAACAATTTTGATTTATTTAGGCCGTTTATTTCATAAGCAAACCAATTTTTAACATGATCGAATAGTGTAAAAAAAAGGGTGACTATAGTTCAATCCTACTAAGCCAACCTTCGGCTTCAGTAAACCACCGGATTTCACCGGACCAAAAGCAATTTTTATATTCAAATTAACAAAAATAATTTAATAATACATAATTCTATTAATCATTATTAAAATTAAATAAAATTACTACAATGTTTTAAGCATATTAAATCAAGTAAATATCTCATTTAGCTTGCTCGTTAAAATCCATGCAATTTCGTAAGCCAACAATCCAAGCACGACAAATAGCCCGACCGATAGATCGAATTGATCGATTAGTCCTATTATTCTAGTTATGTGGTTTGGAGCAAGGGGAGACATTACTGAAAATAATTAAAAGTTGAAAAAATTGAGGTTCTTTGCATATCCCCGCTTCAACCCATAAGAAGGTGTTGAATGCTGTTAAATAGGCCTTCCCTTGATCTATCTCTATGTTTTTCTTCAATTATTGCTTGGTCTGACTCAATGTGTCTTAAACATAATCCTTCTAAATTTGAATTAATTCGTTTTAATAAATCTAAACGCTCTATTACTATTCCTCCTATTATCTTACCTGATTCTAAAATGTTTGATGTATCTCACAAGTTTCGTAGTCTATTGTCTCTTTCTTCTCAGATTAAGTTTTGCTAGTTCTTATTTTCATCTACGTAGAATAAAAAAACATTTGTCTTTTCTTGACGATCCTCACTCTTCACCTTCTTGTTACTTTTTTAGTGTTATTTAGGATTGATTATTGTAACTCGCTTCTGATTCTACACTCTATTCTTTAGTAAAGCTTTTAAATCTGCTGCTCGTGTACCCTTCTTTTCTCATATATCTCCATATCTTATTCTCTTGCACTGGCTACAGAATAATTTTTAAAATTTTTTTATTAATGTATAAGTCTCAATCTAAATTATTTCCTAAGTACTTACCAGACATATTAATTGAGCCTAAACGGTTCAATTAATATGTCTCCGGTTTACGATCGTCTTCTTGTTCACACCTCTTCATAACTCGTGTTAAACTCTTTTGCTAGATCCGCATTTAATTAACTGCCCGTCTTTTTTTACGTTGTTGTAGGTGTTCATTTTCACTTGCTTTTCTGGCTCTTTTTTCTGGAACTCTCTACCTCCTTCTCCATCACTTTCAGAGCGAATTTCAAAAACTATCTGATGCAAAATTCATTGAGCGCTGTTGAACATGGCAGATATAGCGATTTATGATCTAATGGATTGATTTTTTAAAATCAAAATGTTCATTGTGTTCATTCCATTATTTGATGGCACGTACTCTTGAACGTTTGATCTCGCGATCTTACATTTAGAATTAGTTGTAAGTAAGTATACCAACACTAAACTTAAGATTACCAAAGCAGTTCTTATCAGGTAAAAAATTTGATGATTCAGAACCCTTAAACATTTCACCATTTATCTGAGATCAAACATTATGTCAAATCAGAAATACCAACAATCTGAAATGTACTCACCGCAGTCTGAGCCATTTTAGAACTATTTTTTATAGACGAATCATAACAACCAATTTTTAATTTCGAAAACAAAATAACTTGTTATCAAACCAAGAACACAATCTGAGACAATTCTGTAATATGTGTAAACAAAAAATACTGAGACATAATTAGTCTGACCAAACACAACTTAAAACAACTAATAAAAACGATAAACGTTGAATAAAAAATCTATTTCATCATTCAATTTGTAAACAAAATTTATTCTTTTAACTTTCCGAGAATATCTGTATTCCTAAACAAGAAGTACTCCTGTTGAGAAAAATATTCAACAATTAATGTTTTCCATGGAAAATTATACCAGAATCTTGTGTTTATAAATGAAAACAAAAATCTAACTTTTTCATCAAGAATAACTTTTGTACCACCATATTCAGGAAGGATAACTCTGTCTCCTACTTTAACATTCACTGGTATCAAATCTCCCTTCTACTCAATAAGTTTTAGCATTGTCATTAATTGATTATGCAAATTTTGATAAAATAATTATCAACGTATTTAACTTCAATAAATTATATTCAATTTTAAATGGAAAATAAACATACAACTCATTTGTAAAACTTCATTCATTCAGCTCATAGTGGACTATTTTAAAGTTATAGCCTAGCTTATCTTATGGTTATGCACCAATAATAATTAATAATCCTAAATAATAGTAGTAATCTTCATAAGTAATCCTACCTAATTTTTATATTAAATGACACACATTGCAAAAAAAAACACTCATTCGTCAAGAATGAAATATTCAAAAGAATCTAAAATCCTAAAACCTATAACAAAAGTTATCACTCATTAATATTAAGTTTTAAAGTATATTATTTTTATAAGGAGACCCCGCAATCTAAGAACTCTGTTCACATAAATATCATTAAATTAACAAAACAAGTCTAACAACATGGAGAAGGAGCCCAACAAACCTCAGTTCGATTTCCCTCACCTACAGCTACAACAGTTGCATCTAGCACCTTCCCTTGGGATTTCTCAGGAATGAACAAACCACCTTTTGTTTTTGTTTCAGCTGCAAATCTTTCAACCAAAACTCTGTCAAAAAGAGGAATGAATCTTTTCAAAGCAGCAGAAGCCTGAAAATAATATAAATTAAAATTTTAATAAAATAAAGGATACACTTTTTATTCTAAAATTTAATGAATCAGACTGTTTGGTTCTAACTAGTTGGCACTTTTGTAGAAGGAATAGTAATTACTAGCAAGTAAAAAGTTAAAAACAAAGTAAAAAAAAACAAACTAAACACAAGCTTCAGTTGCTTCATGCTCATCATCTCTTCAACAAATCAATTGATCACTAATTAAATTAACCCATCAAGTAAATTTCAATCATGAAAGTAATTTGTAATAAAAATTTAACGACCAAAGACAAGTCTCTTTAACTAAAAATCGATCAATTATCATTATCTATTTCAAATTTCACAGAGCGAAATTAGATGCACTGAAGCAGATGTGATGCCGGTATATATAAAAAAAATTATTCAAAAATAAAAATCATCGCAAAAGCAATGAACAAATCAAATTCTTTGCTAACCATTTTTGAATTTATTGATTAAACGTTACTAAGACAGAAGGAACAGAGCAGACGAGAACGACGAAGAAAGGAACGACAAAACGAATCTTTAATCGAGACTTTGAGAAAGAATGACCTTCCGCACGTGCGATGCGATAGATATCTTCTTTTTTTCTACAATGTCAATCATTTTATAGCGAGTAATTTTTCGCTAGTAATAGCGAGGCTTCATGAACAAACGATGAGAATCTTTTGAACCAACAGCCCCTGCATGGTTTGATTTTAATGGTTAAATCATTTCTGATATAATTATTTGTATAGATGTATACAGTTGCACATCAGCTACGCTAGTTTTTAACTATATGATCCATTAGAATTAATAAATTTTTTCTATTTTAAGTATACCTACGCACTGAAGTAATGAATAGAATAATTGAAGTCATAAAACCGACGACATACTGCAACCAATGTAGTATTCGAACTATGAGTATATTACCTATTCGTCCTAAGATTTTGACATTGAATTACAATTATATAATTCCATGGATTATATGGATTGATTATATGACCATATATCAAGTTTACGAAAAATTTGTTGCTAATATGTTGGTTCTATTAATATTTTAAATTTATATTTGCACTACTGATTTGAGCATAAATTTTGTACTGACGCACTGTATGTGAGGGTCTTTCGATGTTTAAGAGGAGTTTCAAGTTAAAGTCCATGAAATATTTTCGGCTGGACAGCTGTTGAAACGACGCTTCAAATGCTATACAAACTTTTGTGTTACTATATGTAACTTTTAAATTATCAAAAACAACTTTTACAAAATTTTATGAGAACAAATAATAATAAAAAATAGCATTACTTGAACACGTTTTTTTTAAAAAGAAAATAAAAATAAGTTGGTAGTTGTGCTAGTTTAAAATATGAACGAAAAATTTGAATGAAGTGATTTGGGTTGGAGTGAGGTATCACAAATATCCAGTTCCAGGACCATGTCATAGGAATTTAACTCCTTCATTTGTGTCGTAAATCATTACTTCTGCTTTCTTTTGCAGTTCCAAATATTTCAATGCCTTCAATAAAACAGATTTATCTAAACCATAAAACTCTGCGTGAAAAGTTAACAAAAAGGTTATAATTAAAAAGACTAGAACAGTAGACAAATAACTGGATACCTTGATCTTTTGTGTAGTCTCCATCTGTCAACTCGTACAAGGTGCACACAGAATTTGTGTGCCCTGTATCTGATGCCTGTGTGTTGTTTAAGTTTCATATCATTTTAATAATTCACAGACATGTTGTTTAATGATATTAAATATTAATACAGAAACGCCAGAAACTGTAAAGAAAAACAATGTAAAGAAACATAAGTAGATTACAAAAGAAGTCTGAAGCAAAGTTGAAGGCTAAACACAAATGTAGAAAACATGTACACTGACATCTCAATACCAAACAAACAAAGTCAGATTTTCATATGAAGAAAAATGACTGAGCAGTAACCCATTTGTAAATGAGATTGGCCCACTCATCAACAGTCCTCCACATAATGAAACACTGTCTTTTATTCTTGTCAATCCATTCTAAATTACCTATTTGAGACATAAATTATTTTTTGTTACTTTAACAATTTTGTCGCATGAAATTAAAATGTGAATAAACTAACGTTTTTTTCTTAATTCTTCAAGAATAAAGTGTATATTGTCTATTGAAAGTTTTCCTTTGAATAAAAGTAGAATTAACTTAACAATTTCATCAAATGACTAAAGCATTATAATATAAAAAAAAATTTTTGTAAATCATTATTCCTACTGTTTATATCTTTATTATTAAACAAAGGACTGTTCTGCACTTCTGAAATGTCCAACTTATAAATTTTGTGGTGTCTGTGATAAGATAATATCAGTTGGCACCATGCTTCCAATTGTTTCTGGCGAGTGTTTATGTTTGGTTGGAGTCTACAAAAGATTTTAAATTAATAAAATAAATATATAAAAATAAAAATGTAAAATTAATTAAAAGATTGCATGCTTTTTCATTTACTACATTCAATACACTTTACAATTTGAATTTAAAAATTAGTTTTATACTATAAAATTATCTATAAAATTTATAGATATAAAAATTGATTGTATTTTAAAAAACATAACAAAAAAAATAAATAAAAGATTGCAAACTCATATATATCTGAGACCTGAGAGTTATCCAAAACTTAGCTTTGTTTAATTTTTTAGCAAGTAACCATGAAAATAACTAACGTGTAGAAGGGAGGGAAAGAATACTGCCAAGGCCATTCAAACTGTGTTGTAGTCATTAGAAAATTATTCTGGTGATTAAGTTTTTAAAATTCAATTTGAATATTTAATCAATCAATCAAGGCTGTCAATAATGAAATTAAAAGTCAATGCAACTAAGACTAAAGAAACAAATTATATTACTATATAATATAATATAAATAATATTATAATATAATATAATAATTATTTTTTTAATAATATCAATTTTTATATTTTGTATGTCTGGGTTTGTTGTTGCATCTGCAATTGCAATTCCAAATTGCCAGTTATAATTTATTATCAATATCAATAATATGCAATAAAATAAAATAATAATGAATAATGTTTGTTGTTTCAAACAACTTGTTTGGATAATAAAAAAAGATATTTTAAATTTAATTTATTTTTAATATTAATAATAATATTAATTAGAATCTTTACAAAATTATTAGTATCCCTAAAGCCAAACTAAAATAAAATAAAGATAAACAGATCTTGAACTTGAATTTAAAAAAAAATAAAATGCATATAATAATTTATAAATATTTTTGAGTTTATTATATAAACTGAAGATGAGACGAGTACACGATGATAAAAGGAAGCTGGAAATTCCAGTATTTTGAACTTGAACTTGAATTTAAAAAAAAATAAAATGCATATAATAATTTATAAATATTTTTGAGTTTATTATATAAACTGAAGATGAGACGAGTACACGATGATAAAAGGAAGCTGGAAATTCCAACTTCCATAAACATAGACTATACACTATAGAGAGGGACAAATTTTTAACATTACAGGAGTCGGATTAAAATTTTCCGACACCGGTTCTGACTCCTTGATAGAAAATTTTCCAACTTCAGATAAACATTTTTGACTACATAATTTGAATACTGGCTCTGAAACTTTCAAAACAATGCTTGAACCATATATATAGAATATAGCATTATATTATTATATACTATACATAACGTATTATATTCTATTTATCTGGTTTCAGCCTTTGCTTTACAATCATTTAACAGTTGGTACCGTAAAATTTTAAACTGGAACAGAAAGATTCTTTTAAAAATATTTTTAACCAGTTAATGTAGTTTTTTTCTTTAGTAAATTCGTTCTATATTAATGCTTTAAAATATCTAAATATTTTTAACCAGTTAATGTAATTGTTTACTTTAGTAAATTTGTTCTATATTAATGCTTTAAAATATCTACTAAAAGATTATATATTTTTTCTACAAATACAACGTTCATTGTACATAATAGAGTGCATAAAATAACTTCGTGAGGATTGCACCTGAAGCAATCTTATTAGTCAACTATTATTTTGATCGTCGAGCATCATCATAACAACATCAATAATTCAGATTCAATTTGTTGATCACTGCCCTTGGACGACGATGGGATGAACTTTCATGAGTTAATTATTTCTGAAGCGTACCCTTACTTTCAATATAAAATTTTTTCCAATACCAACGCATTATCGTGTTCATTTTGCCAATTCATTAGAAAAACTGTGTTTATATGAATATGATTTAGGCTCAATAAATCGTAAGAACAAAAATTTAAAAAATGTAATTTTAGAAAACTTTTTTTTTCTACAAAGAATGGAGTTTTTTATTTATAATTCAATCATTTGAATGATTCATATACATTCATTCAGTCTGGTTCTCATTACCTCCGTCCAAATTTAACAAGTCATTACTCCATTTTTTTTACGTTTTACTTTATTTCACCCTCAAATAAGTTGAACCCAGATAACTTTTATTTCAACTGAACTTTAAAAGATGTTAAAAATGACCACGAGATTCCATGTTTGACCAGGATTAGGAGCTTATATGTATTATGTATATATATATATATATATATATATATATATATATATATGTATATGTATATATATATGTATATATATATATATATAAATAAAAATAAGTTTATTTTGAATTTTAATAAACTAAACGTTCACCAAAAAACTTTAGTGAGAAAAATCGAAAAAACGAACTACAAACATATTAACGCCAAACATTCGGTAGAATTTATAGAATATTGTAAATATATATATATATATATATACATAGATCCATTTTTAATACTTTATAAATATATATAAGTACACGTTTGCTCTATGCTCATGAATGTATGTTGTGTCTATCTAATTTCATGCGATTGTGCCAAACAAATAAAAAATATCCATTAAAATCAAATTTTACGTAAAAGCAAAGGAGTCAACACAAAAACGCGCAGAAACAGCACTGGATGAAATGAAATAACATTATTATATATATATATATATATATATATATATATATATAGAGCATATAATTCGTTTATCTTTAACGCATAATACACACACACACACGCACACACACACACACACTGTATGCACTGCACATTTCCACGTCAGATGAGCACAGAGCGAGCAGTCTATAAAGGACGGACGTGAATGCCAACTTGATCGTCAAACTTTCACCCGAGCAGACGTTGGAGATGCGGTGTTGATGGGTGCTCTCGAATGATTGATACTGTTAATAATCATCAACGTTTACAAGGTTAAACAGCGGGAAATGTGCTCGTGTATATTTTATTGTGATGGTGTTTCGAAGAGAACGCCGAGTTGAGTTGTGATGGTGACGCCGAATTATGATGGTGATGATGATGGTGGTGATGGTGATGATGATGATGATGACAGTGATGATGATGTAGATTATGATGATTGCTTCAATGTAAAGGACGGTGACAATGATTTTAACGATGATGTTCATAAAGTAATAATGAAGAAAGACTTTGAGGATTATTGGCGTTGCGGCATGTTTGAGGAAATGGTGTTTCTTGAATTCATGTGAATTGGAATAAGTTTTAAATTAATTTTTACATGGTTCACTTTATTTTGTCAACCAATTTACCACTTTTTAAATATTTAAAATATATAATTAAAATTTTCAAATTGACAGATTATTTCAACATCTTTTTTTAAATCTAAACATTTGTTTCATCAAAGTTATCATATTTGTACAAATTTAATACCAGATAAAACATGCAACTGACATCAAAAACACAAGCAGAGACAATTTGAGAGAATAAAAGACCTGACAACCAAGACGAAGATGGATAGAATATCGAGTATGCCATCAATATGTGAGCATCCAGATTACGACGAGGTAGAGGAAGTGGATGGAGGTTTGAAATCGTACGAGGCGTTCCACGACATCAGGGAGATCCAAGCCATTGATGTTGAGTTGGATGGGCTGGCACTGGAACCTCTACAGCACCATTCCCACCAAGACATGTCAAAATACCTTTCTAGCATGGATGAAAAACAATGCGAAGAAGAAAGTCAAGAAATAAAAGATCAAACTGAATTTAGAAGAGTGCCAAACATCAACGTACTTGGAAACACAATCACCGTCAAGAAACGAGTGGGCAGGTACATACCGCCCCCTGTTGAACATCACCTTTCCTTGAGGAAGAAAACCTGTGTTGTCAAAATCGACAATTGCCATTTCACTATAGGTTAGTAAATTAGTGATTTTTGTTAAGATTCAGTAATGATTCATCATTTTGTATAGTGTAACTCTTGAAATACGCTATTTTTAATGCGTTATTAGTGTAATCTGTTGTGTGTTAATAAGTAACGATTGTAAAGTGTTGATGATTTTAATGTTTTGTGATTTGTTTTATGTTACAATTGTGATGTGCAAGGTTCGCAATGTGCTAGATCATTCTTTTTTTTGCAATATAGTTAAGTAATAATTTTTTTTTCACTTTAAGATTCTTGTGACATATATTTTGTGTATTTTCGTTGTAGCAATATTAATTTACATTTTACATATAAATGTTTTTTATGTTTTGTTGGATTTGAACATCTGCATGTACCTTTGTATTTGATGATTTATCGAAATATGATAGCGCATTTTAAAGCAATTTGCTAAGGGCTAATACTTTTTAATAATTAAATAATACATTTTTTAATAAATAATAATTAAAACGAAAAACTTGACTAATATATATTTAATTATCGAAAAACTGATTCATTCTGAAACTCAGTAAAAATAAGAAAATACCATCCGTTCTTCAGTTCAATTATATTTTTTATGCATTCCTATTTTTTCTTCTCTAATACAATTTGCTAAATGTAAAAATAATTAACTGAAAAGTAATTTCATTGAAAAAAAAGATGTCCATGTTGAAAGTCATCAACAGATAGCACCGTTGAGACTAATTATTTCTTCAAATGGAATTTCTTAAAAACTGAAAACTACTACTACAATAGATTGAGAAATTAAATCTTCTAAGTTTTTGAAATGAAATTAAAAGGCATAAGCATATAAATATTCATATGTCAATTACACACTCACACACACACCTCCCCCCCCCCCACACACAAACACAAGCACACACGCACACATACCACACATACACACACAAACACAAGCACACACACATGCCACACACAAACACACAAACACAACACACACAAAGTAAATATTTAGAAATGGATAAACAAAAGTAACGGATGCGGTATAGAATAGAACGATCGGTTGGCAAACAAGTTTCGCTGAATATAAATTAAATTCCGGTGAAAATATTCCTCTGAAATAAATTCATCCTCATTAGGTTCATTGATTAAACTTTCACCCAGAATATTAATCGTCTTAGCCCATTTTCTAATCTATTTCAAATTACCAAAAAGTTTGTTGAACGAAAAAAAAACGTTCGTACATTTTTTTTGAGTTTTCAAGGAATGTATCAGCATTTTAATACAACCGAATCTAAGCACGAGAAAGGATAGGGAATATAAAGGAATAGTTTACGTTGTTGTTTTTAAATATTCTTAGTTAATATTGTTGAGGTAAAAGTCTTTTTGGCTTCTAGTCGAATGTTAAATATTTTGCATTTTTTCACTGACGTATTTTATCCATTTTTAAAAATTTATTTAATAACGTTCGCAAAATGTTCCACCACCATCATCATCATTATTATTATTTCATCATTATTTTCCGTCTCGTCGACTTATTCGTCTTCAGCAACATCTATGTGGTCGTTGTGACTTTAGTCGCTAAAATCATCTTAATGGTATTTACTCGTTTTTTTCTTGATTCATAATGAAAAGCTAAAACAAATGACTACTATTATTTAAAACTCTTTTAAATTTTTCATTTATAAAACATTACATTAGCTTGTTCTTGAATAATTGGCGATATTAATAGTATTATCACTAAATTAAAATATGAAAAATGGAAGTAGTCAGAACGAAAATGAAATAACAGCAAGTATAATTTATAAAATCAATTGTGCTAATAAAATAACTAAAATATAAAAGAGAAAAATGAACTGGAGCGTGAAATGGAAAAATAATAATTTTATTACATTTTGCGTGATTCAATAAAGCTAATCCATTTGGTTATAGTCGCAGGCAAAAGCATATATCGACACAGAGATATACAGAAACATACAAACTCCAGCCAGCAATTATATTGATCACGTGACATTAAACGGATATCGATCAGATGGGCATGATTAACTTAAAGAGGAAATCACGTGATCCTTCAATGTCCAGCTTATTTGGAAATTTTAGTTCATTATTCCAAATTTGTGTTCGTGAATATTTTTTTTCATACGTTTTCTGAAAATTTGAGCAATGAGATAAGATATAACATTGGCAAAGGTGGGATAGCTTTGAAGTTTTACTAAGTTGACAATTTTTTTAAATAATTGCTTTTAGGGAGCTAGATGTAAACTTTAAATTTCCTGTGGCTACAATTCAGATTATATTAATATTATATTATAATAATATTTGGCCAAGAGGTTCTAAAATTAAAAAGTCAAATAGCAGATATAAAACATTTGCAACAAAACAGTAAATCCTTTTGTGAAAATGTGAAATGTTAAACAGAAGCAAAACAATTCTTCAAATTTTTCTGTGTTTAATTCACACAATGAAAGATACAAAAAATAAACAAAACTTTACAACCAGCCACGGGCGAATAACATAATTCAAAACAAACGACATGGAACTTGCATGGCAACGTTATAAAGCCAAACAATACAAAATTCATTTCAGTGAATGTAGTAAAGGAATTGAAAACAAAAAAAAAACTGTTTCACACATTTGGAAATGATAAAAATTTCATCTTGAAGTTAATTTAACAGCGAGTATTAATTGTATAAAATAAATAAATAATGAATGAAACTTCTGAAATATATATATGTATATATATATATATATATAATAAATGAAATTTACAATCAAGAATGAAGGATTGAATGAGATAGAAACCAAATTGGTAGGCTGGAGTGAAACGGATTGAAAATGTCAAAGCTGGCAGATGTAGGTGTGATGATGCTCTCTGACCGCCTGATTGATGCTCTGTTCCATCAGCATCTCATCAGTCGACCATGTGCAATGCGATGCGACGACGATTCTGTTACGAATGCTTTCAATCTGTTTGCCTGTGCCGGTATAACACCAGGCCCAATCATAATCTGAGAAATGTTCATTTTTGTTCTCATTTTTCATTTAAAAAAAGACTGAAATTGTGGGCTTCAAAAAACCTATGTTGCTGAAAGAGAAGATAAAAACAATTTTAATAATTCAATTAATTAGTTAAATGCAAAAACATTATATAATATTTCGAAAAAAATAAAAAAAATAAATTTTAATTATTGATTAAAAAGGTGTAATAAACGAAATTAAAATGGAATTTATTGAAGATAATATTTTTATTAAAACAGTAGAATATTTCAACAGCAATTTTATTATTAATAGTTTCCCTGTAAGCTTGATTGCATCCTGCATATTTGTTCACCAGATTATCAAACACATTAATAGCAGTTAGTTTTTTAAAAATAAAATTTGTCATTAAATTATTAGAAAATGTTTGAAGTTAAAAAACTTTTGTGTTGTTTTTCCACGCTCAGCCTTTAAAAGAAGTGTCAATGTCGCCAAAGTGTTACAAAAAGTGCACGAAATGTAAAAGTATTCAGGCGGTATTTCTGTTTTTTTTTTTCACATTTCTATCGTTATTAATCAACAATGTGTAGCCAATGAATTGTGGCACATGCAAGAAGATGATTGAATGCGCAGTCACGAATAACCAGAATACATTTTTTTCATCGTAGTTGAAGCTTCATAGATAAATTTGCTCGTATAAGCAAGACTAATCATTCAAAACTGAACGTGTAGTGGTTTGTGCAAACATTCAGCGAAGTGGGGACGTAGAACCATCTGCTACACAAACCTACATTATTTATTGCTTATTAGTTAAATATTTGCTCAGCATAGGTTTCATGATTACTTTGGCATAGATAAAGGATTACATTTGCACATCAACAGTGGAGTTGTTACATGTTTTTTACTGCATACATATTTAACTATGTAAGTGAAATATTGAAACAATTTTTGTCATTGTTCAAGGATACGTTCATGTCCAACATGTCGCGTGTACGTTTAATACTGCACTGGCAAGAACCATAGAAATATAAATAAAAGAACGTTGATATGATTCTTTCACTTGTTAACACAAAAACCATACTTTTAATTAATTCAAAAAATATGCACTGAAAATAAAAACACACAAATTTGAAAATTGAATTAAAATTAATGGTGGGGAAAAATAATATAAAATCTTCGTTTCTTCAAATAAAAAAAATTTTTATGTTCCGTGTTTCAAACTTTAAAAAAGTTTACAAAGTAAGTTCACAACAGATTTTTAAAATATTTACGTACGTATAAAGAAAAATGAACAAAATAAAAACTATCAATTTTTTTTCTGACGTTTTGATAAACTGAACTGAGAAAGCTAAAAGTATAGTGTATAGATACACACAAAATGTGAGTTTATAAGTTGATGAAGACTTATCAATATTTAGAAAAATTTTTGAACTTACTTAAAGAAAAATAAAAACATTTTTAAAATGTACTAGCCTTATATGAAAAGTTTAAATGATAAAAATTATTTTTTGTATAATAGTTGAAAGTTTGTTAGGACTCTCAAACTAAATTATTGGGATTATTCAATTAACACAAAATAAAAACATTGTTAGTAGCGCTTTACTTTTCTGGCAGATATTTTACGATTAGATGCTTTTTCTGACAATTTTTATTTTACTGAGTTAGGAAACGGTCCCTGTAGGAACAACTGAACGACTGGCTGATTTAATTTTATTTTATGCATCAGTTTCCATATTATTTTTTTTATGACGCATAAGTTGCAATTGAAAGTGCGAATTCGAAATTTTTTTAAAATTTGTTGTGGGGCATAATAAAAAATAAAGGTTAGATTATTAACATTTTTTAATAAAATCTGAAGAGTGACTTCCACTAAGAGATATTACATACTTCTAAAGAAATATTGAGAAAAAGTTGATGTTGAAGGCGATGGAAAGCTACATGCATCTGAAAAGTGACAGGCGTTCATCCTTATTACTATCTTAAGCCCAACATTCTTATCAAAAACTTTTCAATCAAATTTTATTTTTACTGAATGAATTTTAGATTTAAAAACAAAAGAAAACATAAAAACTGCCCAACACAAGTATTTCGTTTGTGAAACCGTTATAAATTGTTTTGATAAAAGACACGATCGGCATGTTTTAATTTAACAAATGAGTTTTTAGTTTTTTGTAATGTTTTAATTACCGAAAAGAAAAACTGATTAATTTTTTTGGTTGCAAAACTCACTAAAATAATAACTTAGATCATAAATAAATTTTTCATGTTTAAAAAATAAAAATTAAAAAAAAATGAAATAACGGCATTTTTCAACTTTGTGAATGCTCGTTAACCTGTGATGATCATTAATTAATTAGTTGGTCTGTTCACAATACTAAATCAAGTTACTCGTCTTAACGCATGATTGAAAGTTTGCAAATTGTGTTTGCCAAGAACTTCAGACTTTTGAACTCACATCGACAAAGGACTTGAAATAAAATCCTGATTGAATTTGAGGTTTGTGTGAAATGGCAGGCCCGCGTTCGCTCAATGTTTACCAGCACGTGATCATACACGGCACAGTTAACTGATGACAGATTGGATTTAAACATGTTAATTTTCAAACAAAAACATTTCAATTATGTTGTGATTAATTATGCATTTCATTACAACAATATATATTTTTATTTGAAAAGTTTTGTTTTCAAAAAATATTTTAAATAATCGCATGCTTATGCTTGCATGTTTGTTCTAAGTGAAAATAACTGCTGGTTAGTTATGGTTTTCATGCATGGTGGAAAATGTTTGTGGAATA